CAAATTCCATGCCTACTCTCCTCTCTACAGAGACAATGCTATTATTTTGTTTAAAGAGCAAGATTAAGATGTTCATTCTTTACCTGCCAAGTATTCTGAAACATCTGCACAAATGTCATCTGGAAGGTCTTACACACTTACATAAACCAGAGAAGAATCCTCAGACCTTACTGCAATGCAGACAGTTGCAGTTTTATGTTTAACCTTAGCTGCAACATTTCTGTATTGCAATGTTAATTAAGATATATAAATACGTATTTGATCTAAAGCCCAGAACACATCCTGTCAAATTCTTTTTTAACACAGTTTAGTCCAACAACAGACTACAGAGAGAAGAAAGCACTTACCCGAATTAGAATCTGGAAAAGACAAATAGCAAATATTGGTTTTCTAAAGGGTAGGGAAAAGAAAAGACAGCTGTTATATTTCCTGAGATACAATATATTTATATTTCCTAAGCTAAAACCAAATGATATATAGCAACCATGACTTACCTCTTTATCTGTGAGTTTGGAATGTGGAGGATATATCACCTACAGGAAAAAAACAGTATTATTTTATTTGAAAATAAGCTGGGTATAAGCAATAAGTCTCCATCAAATATTTTAACAGTACAACACTCAAACACCTTCCCAGCTGTAGGACATTTTCAATTGTAAGCTATTAATATTATGTCTCAGTTCTTATCTTCATATGCTTTTAAGCTTTCTTGATCACCCATCTTTACAAGGTATTTTGGATGCCAGTTAGAGACCTCACACATTCATTTAAAAAGGTACATTCAGAGTGCACATTCTGAGTAGTTGAGATTTTTGGTGCAAAAGGTCTCAAAGAACAGCAAGATTACATCTTTTAGATTTAACTTGTACATGCAAAATGCAGTAGATGATTAATTTAAAGCAAACACACATTGTGTGAAAAAATCTGTTGCAATCAAAAGTCAGGCTGGGGTAACCCCAATTCAACCACAAAACATGATCTATATTATTACCTGCTCCTGGAGGATGAACACTAGTCCCTAATGGCAACTGTGAAGCTCAAGGAATAAACTCATGGCTTTTTGTACTAACAGAAAAACAAACAGATCATGGAGTAAGCTTGCACAACACAGAAATCAAAAATGATGCAACACAACTAAGATGCGGAAGCACAGTTACTTCAGAAAAGAAAGGATGTACAAAATCAGATTATGCAAGCAGGTGGGAATTGAATATACAGGAAAGAGGACAAACCTCAGACACCTAAATTTCAACCAAAAAAGTCCTCAAAACAATCCACAACGCACACCAAAACTCCTGAAATGCTTGGCTAGCTTATAAGCAGAGGAAATTTGATATAAATTCCAGGACTATGTTTTAAAAAGGTTTCAGGGCTTCCAAAGATGGGAGCTAGTTGAAGAGCAGAAGTTCAATGCAGGAACAGCAGCTTCATGCAGTCCTCATCTTACCATACAGCTAGCATCCCATTATCTCATTTAATCTTGTTCTGTTCAATGTAAGTACATTTATTTCCTGGAAACACAACACTATCCTACTCTATAGAAAACAGCAGATATACTCACTGGCTGATCTCTGACTAAGCACCTTTCTGTCCTCCAGCCATAAAATCTCCAGGGCATTTTTTTCTCTCAGTCTCCTATCAAATGATGTCCAGCTGTGTAAGACACGATTAGCACAACTGAAGCTGAAAGCAGACACCAGTGGAACACCTGCATTCTGCACGGAGTAAACCTATTACTGCCTCTTTGCCTTTGCTATCTTACGCTAAGCAGCTGTACACTAAATGTCACTTTCAGAAGCTGAATGATGCTGAATTATCCACATTTAGTCAGAAGACTGGCATACAGACTTGAATTCATACTCGTTCTCCTCACTAGCAGGTGTTTCTTCCCAGAATTCCTACATAAACTGAAGCTAATTATTCTTCCTGCAGCTACCTACGGGAAAAAAAAAAACCAAAAACAAAAACCAAAAACAACAAAACAGGCCTTAGTTCTGTAGACACTTTAAGTCTCCTTTTATGCATCCATTTAAGTTAATGTGACTGTCAACCGAGAAGTCTCAGCCACGACAGAGGCTGTGCTGCCTTCAGCCACCGAGCACAACAGCTGCCCAAATCACAGGTTATACAGAATCCTTTGTCTTTGTTGTTAACACCACCTTATAACATCAAAGGAAGAGAACTCAGATAATTTACACAGTATCCTGGTTTTATCTGCATTTCTTTGTGGCCAACAGTTATGTATTTTACATACTGTAACGGCCTGCTTGAATTTTAGGCCAGTCTGCCATGCATTTATACTGGCACCCCTTTAAGGCAAGGGCAAGAAAAAGACACTTTCCCTGCAGACCAAGAGTTTGCTGCGCAGTCACGTGGTGAACAGGGCGAAACAGGACGTGAAACTGACCCGAACAATAATTCTTCTTTCCATTTCCCAGCACTGTGAGCTCCCTGTGCCCTCCCCAAGCGGTGCCACGGCTGTCCCTGCCCTCCCCAAGCGGTGCCACGGCTGTCCCTGCCCTCCCCGACTTATGCCACAGCTGTCCCTGCCCTCCCAAAGCGGTGCCACGGCTGTCCCTGCCCTCCCCGACTTGTGCCACAGCCTCCCTGCCTGTTGCACACAGGGCACAGCCGGGAGTCGCAGCCGCAGCAGTGACACTGCCAGGGGCCGGCATCCAGCTTGTGCTGAAGGAAAATGCTTCAAACCCGCAGAGAACCTTTTCGCACACCTCAGCGACCTGGCGAACTGTTAATTATGAAGATCACTCACATACTCCTTATTATCACATTTTTAACACCTAGATGCCATAGAAATCAGCACTATTCGTACTCAAAGAAAACCGACGATGTACTTCATATAAATCTCGGGACGCGATGCAAACCATTTAAAAGCGCCACTGCCAGCACAAGCAGCACCATGAGTAGAGCTGCACCAGCCTCACCCGGGACAGCCGAGCCGGTTCACCGGGGCGCTGCCCCGCTCGCCGCTCCGGGGCTCCGCACAACCACGCTTCCTCCAGCACGGCCGAGCTTCCCCCGCCTCTGTGCAACACCGGGGCCAGAGGAAGCGCCCGATTCCGCCGGGGCCCCGCCGCAGCCCGCAGGGCGAGCGGTGCTCCCCGCTCGCCGCCGCACGTACCTCCACGGCCTGGCCCAGCTCCAGGTCGAAGCCCACCACGCACACGCAGTGCAGCCAGGCTGAGAAGCGGTCCCAGGGCAGCAGCGACAGGCACTGGTCGGGACTCTCCGGCTCCGCATCCTCCGCAGCCACCTCGGCACCGCCCGGCCCCGGATCCGGGGCCCGCTCCCGCCGCGACATGGCCCCGACCCCGGCCCCGCCGCGCGGAGTCAGGTGACTCGCGTCGCCCCGCCCGCTCCCCCCGGAGCCGCTCGGAGTGGGAGGGGCCAAGCGGGCACCGAGGGGAGGCCAAACCATTCCTGCGGGGAGCGTGGGGGGGGGGGGGGTGGGGGCCGTAGGGAGGTAGCGCCCCCGTGCGGCCCGCCAGGGAAGGGCTGCAGTGCGCTCGGCCCGGCCCGGCCCGGCACCTCCAGGCGGGCACCGGGCGGGCCGAGCTGGTCGGGCGGGGAAAGCAGCTCCTCTCTCGGGGCTGCGGACACCGCACCGGCCCCGGGGAGCCCGCCCCAGCGGTGCTGAGCAGAGTGCTCGCGAGGGCAGCTCTGCAGGCAACGGATTAGTCAGCTTTCTTTGCTCTTTGACATGTCAGTGACAGCACCTGCTGGGGACGCCGTGGCCGCCAAGTAATGAGCAGGCGAGTCCCCATCGTGAGCTATGCACCGCTGAGCACGGCACGGGAGGGAGATGGAAATACCTCTCTAGCTGATGGCTGCACAGCTTCACCCTCACAGGATCACTGGGATGATAATAAAAAAAGCATCCAAATCTCTTAAACCCTCTTTTATTGCCTTAGCCAAAGCCCAAGCTCTTTAATAATGTAAGAGCTTTCAAATAGTCTTTTAGCACAGTCCAACAGCTATTTATATTTCATTATGAAACATTTTGTAGAGTTAAAAGTGCTAAATAGCTACTTTATTTAACAAAATGAAAAAAAAAAGAAAAAAAAATGCATTCACCTCCCCCAAAACTCCTGACCTCTTTTAATTTAATTATTCACACTAGACTTTTGGTTGACTGCTACTAGAACAGCTTCAGCAGCAGTAGGTGTAGATGAGCTGCTACCTGAATCACTACATGCCATTTTTTCTCCAGGACGGGAGTTGCAAATATTAAAACCAAGATAATACATCTATACATACTTAAAAGAAAATGTAGGATTCCTTAGATGCACTGTTTCCTTAAGGCCCATTCACAACATTTGTTTATCTATCAAAAGCAAACAGCTAGAAATTAAAGTATGCTTTGATCACTGGAGCAATTTTCTAGACAAAAGATGAACGAACATATAACTCAGACAAAATTATAACAAACAAAATTATCATGGTAATAACTTGAGATACAGTGGCCTTCAGTTATCTAAAGCACGAGTAGCAAAGTGAATGTTAGATACAGGCTGAGATAGGATTGGGGCTCTGCAGTGTGCAGCCTCAGGCAGGCTCTGTGGGAAGGTTCTCGCTGTCTCCACCTGCTTCAGGTATTTTACAGTGATAGCATGCAAGACTCACAGATTTTTCAAGTAGTTAACTCCTAAATTCTGTAGATTCTCTTGACAAAAAGACATGACTAAGACTGAGCTTAATCAAGTTCAACTCAGTGCAATGAGTCTCAGTGGAATTTAATTTGCTGTTTCCATTTAAGTGGCCTGGCCAAAAGCTTTTATCACTTGGTTTAAGAAAAGATTTCATGTCACTGCCTCTTATAAGCCTTCCCTTGTTTATATTCTTGCTGTCATGGGCAAACCAAAATTTTTAGCTATTATCATCATGCATGTCCTTATAGTTTTTGCTGGGCCCCTTCTTAAATTTCCATGTGAATAAAAAAGTGTAAGTGTATCTATGTGAAATATTAAGAATAAAGCACTTAGTAAGAGTGATACATTTTATAAAACAGTAAATTAATTCTACTGGATGCTTAACAAATAATCTTTTGGCAGGAGAAATTTAAGAGAATAGACACATGATCCCTGATAAAAGAAGTACAGAAGAAAGAATTCTTACCTACTGGAGATATTCCCAATAAACAGTGATTCAGAAAGATTTTCACTTAGCCATTTTAAATACATTTTAGTTTTGATAAAATGGGATTATCTCCTTCAGCTGAGAAAGAAAAATATTTCTGCATGTATTGTAACATTTAGAAACAACTGAGTTTCTTCTTCGAGAAGCATCAATGCAGGACAAAAAACAGACTTCAGAGCTGGGAACCAACTAACTGAGAGCATTTTGCTGCAACTTGCAATAAAGCCTCATAAAACACTAGGGCTCTGCATATGGAATATGCCCTTACGAATCTCCAGGAACTCTGCCTTGTTTTGCAGAAATACAGCCATCTGTTAATATCTGGAAGGGTTTGGACAGGAGACACTGCTAGAAAAAGCATGCCCTTGATGTCAGTTGCTGGAATAAAAATGAGAAAAGGCCTATGTGGGACAGCTGGGTTCTAAAGATCCACAACTGCTCAGTGTTTGAGCCTGCCTTGCTTTCTTCCATGCTCTATCTTGCTCCTACAGCTGTGATCTCTCAGCAGGATGGTTTCTATCAGGTAGCAGCAAATGCTGTGTTGGCTGCTGGCTGGCCAGGCTCCATCAGCTTCAGCAGGGAGTGACTGTGCAGACTGCTCACATCCACAGAGAAACACCAAAGAACTGCATAAACATCATCTGCTCATCTCATCTTCCACTCCATCCCCCGCCTCGAGATTTCAGTTTAAAGCAGTATTTTATTTGTATTTGAAAATTATATTTGGTCTAATAAATACATTCAGTTAAAACAAATAAACACACACACACAAAAAAGTCATAATTATTTTTAAAGCATCTTTTCCATTTTTCAAACAGCCACAGAAAACATCAAACATTTTAAAAAGTCAATATTAATATTGACTGTTAAATTGATATATTATTAGAAATGCAAATAAGAGCTGGTCACACGATGACTATGGTCTGCTAAAATGATAAAGCAGTAAAAAGGCCATTTCAACTTGCCCGATTTACTTTGAAATGAAAAAACACTGCACGTAAAATTAGCTATATATTAGCACAACATGTATTAATGGCATGCATGTTACATTATACTTATGTATATATACCAAATACATGTGTTATCAATATACTATGCAATGTACATTGTATATATAAACAGATAGGATATATAGCACATAATAAATAACATATTTAAAATCATTGTATAAAATACTCATATTTATTACATAATCTAAATTGAATAGTACATTGCGTATATGCTCACTACATATATAACATTAATGTCAATGTTATCTTGGTAAGACACTCATTTGTATACTGGATACAAGTATCCTTTTTTTAATGCAAACCAGAAATAGGAGCAGGGAAGGATCTGAAAGAAAATTGAATAAATGGAGAACCTACCTGACAAGAGAGGATTGAACTGGTAGAATTGCTTATTCTTTCAAAATTAATGCCAAAAGATAATGCAATTGTTCTTTACATAACCAGTCAGAGAGTTAAAAGATCACAAACAGAAAATAAGTCTGGAATTTAAGAACAATAATAGCGCTAAAATAAAAATATGTAACCTCTTCACTAAATCTGGGGTGATAATTAGAACCAATTTTTTTAACACTGGAGAAAACTTCTCTGAAACATTTCGTTACTTTTGACAGCTTGGTTCAAAATGTTTTAGAAGCCAAAATCTAGATGTTTTTCAGGTATGCACATGAACTATGTCAGCTGCATTTCATCCTCCTGAAACAGACACCAGCTCTTTAGGGGATAAATGTGACAGTGGCAGTCCCCTACAGAGCTCCCTTTCCCTTATCCAAGATGGCTATGGAACGGGCTCTTTCTGCCCTCAGCTATCATGGCTATCAAAACATTTTCATGGACTTCCTGCCCAGAAAAAGGAGGGACACAGTTGGCTCCTGCTGCCCTTACCTAACATGGCTGCGAGGCGCTTGCCTGCTTCAGCTGTGTGACAGCGTCTGCAGAAACGCAGCAGGAGCCGACACTTCCCTCCTCCTCCTCCCTTTCTCCTCCTCCTCCGAGCACAGCACAGCAGCCAAGCACTTCACACTCAACTCCTCACCCACATGTTGCTTTCCACAGTGGATGGAAATGGGATGGACACTTTCTGATAAGCAGCAGACACCTCATAAAATACCCATACAACAATTGTATCCTCATTTCAGAATGCAACTGCTTTCTGTATTTTCATCTTAGCCTTTGACTCTGCCCCTGATAACTTCTGAACTCATCAGGCAATTTGAAATAGGAGCTGAAAAGCCTGAGGGATGACTACACCCACGCAGCTCCACTGAGAGCTGGCACTCCTGCAGAGAAGGAAGGGTCAGATTCACGTCCTGGATGAGCAGTGGGGACAGCTCAGCTGTTACATGAGCCATTTGGCAGTGCCAAAGAGAACTGGAAAGGCACGTACCATTGCGTGAGCCTGTCCCAGTGGGATTTCTCCAGGGGATGAAGAAGGGTGCAGGAAAACATAATATGCCAGTGGCTTACAGTTTAAATGACACAGTTATATTATATTATTATGTTATTATAAATACTTAGAACATCAGAGAAATGTATCCACTGCTCAGTTTATTATTTTACTTGATTCTCTTAGGCCCTATAGATGGTAATGGATCTTTTTCATCTCTAATTTTACTTCCAGTCTCCTTTCTCCATTAAACATGAACCCAATGCTCTCAGAAACATTCTTTTCATTCCAACACCTGTAGTACCCTTTGTCCCCACTTTTTACACTTTGCAGTTCCAAAGTGCTCTCAATTATTATTTCTACTTTTGCAACTCATTCCCTCAAATGTAATTCCTAATGGACCTAAATTTATTCTCACTTTCTCCATCTTCTTTTTATACCTTTCCTCCTCCCTTTGATTAGTTATGGCACCTTGTATGCTGTAAGCAACAGCCACAGAGAATTTCCACTCATTAAAATAATTAGTAAGAGCAAATTATGATTATATTTATCAGAGTAGTACAATCTCATAAGCTGATGAAAGCCATGAAGTGACGTGCCAGATTTTTTTTCCCCTGTCAGGAGAATTAAAACTACGGATAAACACTTCTAAACATTCCACCTCTCCGTTGTTTGTTTTTGTCTTCACAAAATCAGACTTTAATCTTGGATTTCATTTCTCTGTTTCAAACACAGATGCTACAGCCTAGTTTTGCTGTCGTTTTCTCACTGGATTGTTGGAAAAAAACTAGTCTGTTACAAATCAACCTCCCTTCCCCAAATCACACTGCAGTCAAAAATAAAGGAAAACAAAATGAAGACAGCCCTGAGATTTTACTGTGCTACAACTAAGAACATATCAATCATGCTTTGTGTCATACACTGCACTGCCTTACCTTGACTGCTGCTTTTCCCCTCATCCACTGCTAAAGTGCCTGGCCCAGCTGCACTCCTGTCCTCCACAGCTGCCAGCTCTTTCTGCCATCTCCCATATCCCTAATCCTAACACCCTGTCACTGGGTAATTATAGTGCTGGCATGACCCCAACATCTATCTTACATCAACAATTCCCACTTGTTTGCTTTACAGGGAATGACGGAATTAAAAATGTATTTGGACTGGAGAGACTCGTTCGGCACCAGATGACCTTGACAAGTGACCTTTCCTTGGTTTCTAGAAAACAGGCATAAATATGACCTCGGGTGATGCTCCATGGTGTACTGAAGGAAGACACAGCAGTGTCCCCACCTCAGTCCTGTCCCTGCAGCCACTGCTCCAGGAGTCCCCCGGCTCCAGCTGCCAACCTGCAACAAGACATGGCAAACACGGCCAGCATTGCTCCGGCCCCAGGACGCATCAAACCACACCGCGGCTCCCCAGGCTTTAAACTTGGATCATAAAACGACCAGACACGTACAGGGAAAGCAGGAGCGTGTTCAGGAGACTCCTGCAGTTTCACATGCAAGCTCTGCTAAGAAAGTGTCACCCCAGCTCCTCCTCTGAGCTCCACCCTTTCACAGAATCACAAAATATTCTGAGTTGGAATCAGATCATCGAGTCCAACTCCTGGCCCTGCACACGGTGCCCCGGGAATCCCACCGTGTGCCTGAGAGCAAAAGGTTTGTGAACTGGCAGTCTTGGGGCCATGACCACTTCCCTGGGCAGCCTATTCCAGTGCTCTGCCACTCTGCGTGAAAAGCCTTCTCCTAAAATCCAACCTAAACCTCCCCTGACACAACTTCGGGCCATTCCCTCCCCATTATGTTTAAGGGCTGACGGGCCCCGCTCGCGCCCTCCCTCCCAGAGCTGAGAACGGCGAGGGCAAAGCGACGGCCCGGGGCCGGGGCTCACTCACCTCAGATACCTGCCCCGTGCTAGCACGTCCCAGCCGTGCCCCTCCGGGTGAGCACCGACCCCTGTCCCCTCACCCCTCGCGGCCCAGCCACTGCCCCCTCCCGCGCGCCCGGAGCGGGGCGTGACCCGCCCGTGCCGCAGCCTCACCGTGCGCAAGGCGCGTGCGCGAGGCCAGCCGGTGCGCACGCTGCCCGCCCCCGGCTCCGCCCCGGCCCGGCCCCGCCGCCGCGGCCACACCGGGAAGGGCTCCAGGCGCTATGGCGGCGGCTGCGCGCAAGGTAAGGGGGGAGCGGGGCGCGTCCCGTGCCGCCCGCGGGGTCGAGGAGACGCGGGGGGACGCGCCGAGGGAGGCGCCTGACCCGGTTTGTTTTGGGCCCCGCAGGTTGGAGGAAACTTCCCGCGGCCGGTGGCCTCCTGAGCGGCAGAGCGACCGAGCGGGAGCGCCCGGGCCCGGCCGCCAGGCCTCTCCCGCCGCCGGGGCAGCGGAGCCGCACTGGGCGGGCGGAGAGCGCGGGGGTGCGCAGCGGGCCCGCCTCATGCGCAGTCACCTGCGGAGAGGCTGAGCGGAGCCGCCGCCGCCGCGCCCCGCGCCGGGGGCTCCTGGCGAGCACTTCCCGGGGCAGCCCCCGCTGCCCGGCCCTGCGGAGCCGCCGCCGAGGGACGCACAACGACCCCGCCGCCGGCCGGAGCCACCGCCGGGGAGCGACCTGTCAGGGCCGGCCCCGAGAACCCTGCCCACGCGCTGGTTTGTCCCCGGGAGAAGGCGAGTTGGGAGCCTCTCCATGCCTTATCAAGTTCCTTATCTGAGCGGCTCCCAGAAGCTGTAGAGCAGTTCAGCTTTATCTGGTGTAAGGGAGAAAAACAGTGTAGCTCTCGCACTCCATCCTATATCGAGGACCACCTATTCTGCTGGGGTTTATCACACGAAGATGGTGAAATGCGGATTGCTGGGTGAACCATTAGGTCCCTGTTGTGGAACGAGGGCTTTGTATTCGCCTTCCAGTTCCTGATCTGTGCCGTGTGTGTGAGGACGCTAATCTTTCTCCTTCATCCCCCTTCCATAAACCTTTCCTTGCTTCCATGTTGCATTGGTCAGACTTTTGGTCAGTGTTGTTTACGGAAGGGGGGGGGAAGAAGGCAGTTGAGGTTACAAACAAAAGTACTTGTATGACTCATCTACTTGGATTTAAGACATTGTATCCTTCTTTCACGGGGCCTTTGCTTCTCTCTGAAGGAATCAGATGCTTTTTCCTATTCTTCCAGAGGAGGATGGATTGAAAGTTGTACGTTTTAGACTTTTTTTGGGCCACTGCTGATATTATTAAAAGACATAATGGGACTTTTTCACTGGATTATTGCCAGAATTAGTTTACACACTGAAACAATGAGTTGTTAGGCCTCTCATGATAATATTTGTCCTGCTTTAATATAAAGTTGCTGTGGAGGTGTTTTTAAAATTGCGGAGGACAGTCTGCATCAGAAGAGGCTCTCTTCATCTCTGGTTGGTGTGGCAACCACAATCTGTCCTCGATGCCTTCAGCCTTGGCCATCTTCACTTGCCGCCCGAACTCCCACCCGTTTCAGGAGCGTCATGTCTACCTGGACGAGCCTGTCAAGATCGGCCGCTCGGTGGCTCGCTGCCGGCCAGCCCAGAACAATGCCACCTTTGACTGCAAGGTGCTCTCCAGGAACCATGCTCTGGTCTGGTTTGATCACAAGACAGGCAAGGTAAGATGTTCATGTCAAAACACTGAAACTGCACATTTGTTTTAGCAAGTCCCTGTAGATTGTGGATCACTCTGGTTTTGCCGTCATAAATGTGGTTGCGTAGGGCAGGAGTGAGATTTGTGATAAAGTGGTAACTTTCCAGGTAAGTTGGTAATTTCTTTGAATATTATGAAAAGTATATGAAACTAACATTTGAAAAGGGTAGTTGAAAGGCTTGCATGTGTCTTATTTATTACTGGAAATGGGTGATTTTGAGGTGAGACGAGGTGTGAATGTGAAAGCACGTTGTATCGATATAGTGGTGTAATAGTATTTTTTTCAAATGTGGAGAAATTACTGTTTTATCAGGGTGTGAAAATTGATTGTGAGGAGCGTTGAAAAATTGATTTTAAAAAGATACTGTTCTTGTTTGGCACTCTTCCTACTTGTCCTTTTGAAATTTTGTGGAGTATTTTGTTAGGCTCTCATAGGAGGTTTATTACTGACAACAGGAGTGTAATGGGTGGCATTCATGATATAGTCTTATTGTTAGTGAAAATGGTTTTAAAATACATCCTGTGTTCTTAACTGTTCCTCTCTCAAGTCTGGCAGTCTTGTTAAGCAAAATTGAGGGGTCCTGTAGTGCATGTTTTGTCCACTAGGGATTGAACTGGGACAAGTAAAGTTGTTTTACTTAATGACTGTCAAGTTAATTTTAAATATCCAGCGAAAAATTAACAAAGGGCGGACTGCAGTTGCTCAGCCCTGTATTCTTTTTCGAACTCTATTGATGTAATGCTCTAGTACTTAACGTGTTCTAAGTCAGCTTCTTTTTAGCTTCACACCAAGTTCTTCTATGAAATGCAGTCAGTGTAGCTCTGGATTTTAAGAATAACATGGTCTGTAACTCATGCGGATTTTTTCAGTAGTATGACACAGCATGAGGAGCAGTACAAGGCAGTCAAAGTTCTTAAACCCTCCATTGTTAACTATCCTGTATTATGCAATACTTGGACATGATGGGACAAGACAAGCATTTAATTTCTTAAGGCTGGGTTATGGCTTTCAAGTTACCTGCAGGTAATTGTGCAAACTGCTATCTGTATTAAACATTTCACTAAGCATCTTGCTTAGCTCTATTGTGTACGTGATGTGCATTCTTGGATTCTAGAAAACTTAAGTGCTTGAAATACTTTCAGTGTAGTCTTTAACCTTTCTTGTTTGATTCAACAAAGTAAAATGTTCCAATTTATTGTGCTGTTTTTAAATTAGAAAGCATTATGCACATAGCTTTTTATCAACATTTCTTATGACTTACAAAGACTTTAAGACCCCCATGTGCTCTATTATGGTTACAAATATGATTTGTCATTTTCAAGATGGTTAATTTGAGAAAGCACTGAGTGTTGAGCAAGTCTGCTAACTAATAGACAAGCTTCAAAAACCATCAGCTATGAGGATTTTTGTTTGTTTTTAAATTTCAGTTAGCTTTGGCTTCTCTAATATAGGTAAAAAAATTGCATGCTTACTCATTTATCTGTCTAAAAACAGCAACTTAGTAGTAGTAATTAAAAGAATTGTATTTGATAGTTCTTGAGATAACGTCATGTGAAGATTTGACAGAGGTCTGGTGAAAATTGCCAAGGTGGGCCTCTGTAGCCATAGTAAACAACTAAAGAATGGGTGTGTGATCATGCCCTGGAATCCTCTTCTATTGCATGTTCTATTTCAGATTTTGTGCTGTTTTGTTGGCTGTATGGACTGGCTTTTGATCTGGTTGAGTATTGGAATGGTAAATTGTGAGACGGTGGGGTGGGGGAAATGCACCATTAGTGATAGCAGGTATCAAATGCTGTTGTGAAAAGGTAGTTAGAAGATACTGATAAATACAGGCTTGATCTTGAATCACAAGAACTACTTAAAAAAATTCTGTAGTGCTTTCAAAGTGCAAAGAAAACCAGGCCAGAACATATACGTGCAGCAACATCTATTATCATTGTTTACATAACTGCTAATAAGCACATCTCATTTAGGAAATTGTCATTATCCTATCAATGACCTATATTTAAACCTGCACAAATTCTCTTTGTCACAGTATTTGTAAACATTTCTTAGAATCTTATATATAGGACATTCATCAATTCTGGATTTTTTTAAAGGTAAAAGACCTTCAAATGTTCATTTAATAATGAGAAAAACCTTCAGCTATTTCAAAATAGTTTGTTAATGATCTGGGACTACAGTTTCATAAGTTGTGGACTTTGGCAATACCAGTTTCGGGCATTACCAGTCACTCAGTCCAGGCTCTGTTGCCTCTTGAGCTGCCTTTCAGTTACACTTTATTACTTTTTTCTTTTTTTCATGGGGGCTTGGAGTTTTATTTTGTTTAGTGAATCATGTGAGTGATCCTGTTTACTATATAGTCTGTAAACAATTTTGTCAGTATTATCTGTAAATAGGGGTAGAAGAGAGGGAGAATTAGTAAGCTATGTCAAGGAAAGTAATACACAATTTTTTTCCTAAGGCAGAGGAAGGTATAAGCTGAAATATGTTGCATAAGTAGACCAAGCTGAAGATAACATGTTACTTACAATTGAAAGATGTGAATGTTTATTTTGTATAAAGGCATTTTAATTATGCATGGAAAAAGTTATTAGCCCAGGGAGATAATGTCTATGTAACACCAGCATTATTAAGGTTGAAAATAGAGTGAGTTTTCAAGATCACCAATACATAGCAGTTAAAAGAATGTACTTAAAGCTGGATTTGCTTTTTAAAATATTTTAAACGTAGTATGTGAGCCTAAATATGTGTATGATAAAGGTGGAAGGAGATGGTGGTGGGATTATCTGTACTTGGACTTTTTCTGTACATAGTAATATTTTTGAAGATAACTGGTGCAATGCCTCTTCCTTCCTGTGTTTGTAGATACAGCATAATAACTCCTAGTTAACTAGTGGATTTTTCATGAAGTGATAACATTAGAATATTATAATTAGAATTCATTTTGGTTTTATTTTTTTTTTTAGTAATTGCAAGTTAATGAATCTGGGTTTTTTTAGAGGTGCCTGAAAAAGTGACTCACTAGATACGTAGGAAGTAGATGCTATGCTCAACATGGAGTGTTCCAAAAAGTGTGAATCAAAGCAAAAGAAAAAGTGGGCTATACTTCAGAAAATCTAAATGTGTTCAGCTCAAATCACTGCATTTGAGAAGAAACCCTTTAAAATAGTGTACTGAAATAATCTTAAACTTGTTTTTATGGGTTTTGTTTTCATTTCTAAAAATAAGCAAGTGGAAGACCTTTGAGAATTTGTATGTGACTTCCAGGCTGAAATGCTTCTGACAGATGTAGAAGCTTTTAGTAGAAACCTGA